TGTGTCAAATAACTTTCACCCTGGAAAGCTCAAAGGCATGAGGCAGTAACAAAATGCTACTCTGAACTCTGTATTTCACTTTTGCCTAAAACCCTATTTGATAATTAAAACTAAATGAATCCCACATTATAATACTTACGTAGGAAAGTCTTTTTGTGTACATGTTTGCCACAAAGATGCAAAGTGTCAACTCATCTGAGCAAGTATTTGGCAGATCACAGAAAGAAAACAGGGCTGTGGGAAACGCAAACGCTTTAGTGTTTGACAGCTGAAGAGACTGGTGACTGTCACTCCAATTTCTCATCTCCTTCTTCCACGTCTTTCAAACTGAGTACTTCCAAAGAGCCTTTGCCTTTTGTCTCCTTTTTTACGAGCTCATCGATTTCTCGGAAGCAGCCGGGGTCGATGAGACACACCTGAAACATTGAACACAGCTGTTGACCACATGAGGAAGAGCAGTGCCATAGAATGGACACAGCTTTCACTTCATATGAGACAAACACACCATACTTTCCAGGTCTCTCTACAACCACAGATAAGACAACGCACAGGACGGTGGGATGGGTTCTGGTCCAGCCTCTGCCCTTAAGTATGCACGCAGGACCCTGTGACAAGGCATTATTCTCCCTACTGAGGACTTCCAGATTCCTCAGCTGTAAAACGAAGTGGTTGGATTAGAAGGCTATGGTCCTTTTCATACTAAAATTTAGCGTTAAAATTTACAGTTCAATGAAATCATCTCTTTGTAGCCACATTTGAAGAAGAAAAAAAAAAGAGGTGGAAGGCCTATTTAGAAACCATGTGCAAAGTTTTGCAAAGATTTTAGAACTTCAGAGTGTCAGATGTGTTGTTTTACATCTACAGTGGAAAGGGCAACAGTCCTCTAGAGCTCATTTATTTGTCAAGAAGCTATAAAGCTCTAAGACGTGGGTTTCCAGACAGCTGAATTTACACGATGTCTGAAGCTGCAGGGTGAGGACCCAAAGACATGATGTTTTTGCTGCTTCTTTAAAATGTTCTGTGGTAAATGAGACTGACAAACTTTTAGTCCTAGTTCCAATTTCCTCATTAATAGAAGACTCACTGTAAAATATATTCTCATCGAAAATGAGCATTGACCAAAATCATTTTATCATGAATAATTTAACTAAAAAAGCAAACAAAGTGTAAGTGTTCTTAATGACAATTTGGTTCTACGGAGACCTTGACTGTCTTACCTAATTCTAGTTAAGACATTACTGGAAATGTCTTACTGTTCACACCTTCTAAATGTGACAGATTTATGACTAGAGAAGTATTTTGGTAACGTGGAAGCAAAGAAACAAGAGTATGTTAATCTTACAATATCTAACTGTTGACCATAGTCTTCACTTTCTATAACCTTGATGAGTGGCTTGAGTTTTTCTTTCAGCTTCTTCCCTTCATTCACTGGAAGAATGAACCGAAGTCTCATGTGAGCACGTTCTATCTTCATTTTCTCCTTTAACTGCTTTATCACTTCCAAAGCCTATCAAGACAAAATTAAAAACGTCTGTAATTTCTTCGCTTCTTCTGCTGCATTACTGCAGAAGGTATTCAAAACAAAGCAGTTTCCACCTAGCTGGACTGGGCAATGGTTTCTTAGATGACATGAAGAACATTAGCAACCACAGGAAAAAAATAGATAAATTGGGCTTCAAGACTAAAACCTTTTGTTCTTCAAAAAACTATCAAGAAAGTGAAAAGACAACCCACAGAATATGACAAAATACTGGCAAATTGTGCATTTGATACGGTACTAGTATCCAAAATATATAAAGAACTCTTACAACTCAATAATGAAGAGACAACTAATCAACTAAAAAATGGTCAAAGGATCTGAAGAGTGATTTCTCCAAAGAAGACAAAGGGTCAATACGCCCATGAAAATATGCGGAAATTATCAGTCATTAGGGAAATGCAAATCAAAACCAGAACAATACCCCCAGGATGGCTATAATCAAGAAGTTGGACAATAACAAACATCACTGAGGATGTGGAGAAACTGGAACCCTTGTACACTGATTGTGGAAATGTAAAATGGCTCAGCTGTTTCGGAAACTGGCTGAGCAATTCCTCAAAAGGTTAATACAGTCACCATATGAGCTAGCAATTCTATTCCTGGGTATAGAGAAATGGAAACATACGTCCACACAAAAATTTGTAATCAATTTCATAGCAGCATTATTCATGATAGCTAAAAAGTGGGAACAACCCAAATGTCCACCAACTGATGAATGAACAAAAGGTGGTATTTCCATACAATGAACTATTATTCAGTCCTAAGAAGGAAAAAAGTACTGATAGATGCTACAACATGGATTAACCTTGAAAGGGCCACATACTGTATGACTCCATTTATATGAAATGTGCAGAATAGACAAGTCAATAAAAACAGAAATAAAATTTGCAGTTGCCTTATTCCCTCCTTACGAGACAGGGGAATGAGAAGTGACTGCCAACAGGTACAGGGTTTCATTTTGGGGTGATGAAATGTTCTCAAATTAGGTAGCAGGGAAGGGTGCAAAAACTTTGTGAGTATACGACTGAACTGTAGGCTTTAAATGGGTGACTTTTATAGTGTATGTATTATACAAACATTAAAGAAAAATCTAACAACTGGGGTTAAAATGATGCTTTAAAAATCCAAGTTTTATCTTTGTAAAAACATTTTTTACTTTATATTGGAGTATAATTGATTAACAATGATGTGTTAGTTACAGGTGTACAGCAAAGGGATTCAGTTATACCCATACAAGTATCCATTCTTTTTCAAATTCTTTTCCCATTTAGGTTATTACAGAATATTGAGCCAAGCTCCCTGTGCTATACAGTAGGTCCTTGTTGGAAGAATCCAAGTTTTATCTTTAAAGTCTGACTTGGATAGGAAGATGAGAGTCCTAGTATATTTGTGTTTAGTTAAAACAAATTCCATCACTTCTCTCTAAAACCTCCATCGTTCCCCTCCCCTGTACCCAAAACCTCCTCCCACTTACTTCCAAGTAGTGCCATTTTCTTATTACAGACCAACTATTTTAATGTTTTCCTCAGAGAACACTGATTTTCATGGACACTTTTTGACATTAAAAAACAACTCACCTGCTGTTTTGTACTCTTGTTGGGTTTGACCGAATAGTGGATGTCCTTCATGGCTCTCTCGATAAGGATAACGGTGTACGGTCTCTTTGTTTCAGGGTTCACACATTTGTCGGCCACAATAGTTGCAATGTCCCTAAACATCTGCTCCAGCTGTGTGTGCCGTTCTTTATCTGACACTTGAACCTCTCCTTTAGTTAAAATCTTAAAAAATCCAACAAGTTTAAGAAAAGTAATATCTTTATTCCACACTACTTGTTAACTAACCACAGGAATTAATAACTGGGGAGAAAATTAAATTTCATATTCTTCAGCTACTGATATTTGGTAATAACTTGAGCTTTGCCTAAAGGGATTATCTTGTTCCAAAATCTTATTTAGATGGGGAATGGGGTAAAGGTAATCTTAGCAGAGGGTGTAAATGATGAAATACCTGAAAAGGAATTCTATTTTCAGGTATATTACACTAAAAATATATAAATGAACAAAATAATGCAGCTTAGTAGGAAATCTGATTTCTGGAGGCTTTGGCAAAAAAATCCAAGTCCTGAATTATTAAAAGTGATGCTGCACAGATCGAATTATTGCACAGTAACTGTTCACTCAAAAAAAATAGTACTTTAAAGTTTAACATACCTGTAATCTAATATCTAATACTACTGGATATTAGGGTCAATTATGCTGCAACTGTTAGAACCCACCTGCTTACAGATTTCAGTCTGGTCATCTGTTCCAAACGCACTGATGAGATCTTCCTTCTTTGCAACCTGACCTTTAGAGACATTTACAAACACTGAGTGGGTCTGCAGAACTTCATCAAGGTCTTTTTCCCTTGGGAGGACAGGAGAGAAAGTCCTAAGTGAGTATGCTTGAAACTTCGAAGTTCATTCACATTTAAATACAAGAAGGCGTCGATATGAATAGTAAGAAACAACAAATACTCCTAAATGACCCTCGGTTCCAGGGGACCATTTTGTAACCCAGAACTCCATTTGTATTCGCAGTTACTCAGAGGTGAAAAACGTCGCGGGAGTATGTGTGCCATCACTGAAGGGTGGGGTCCGGCTGCTGCCAAGGAATTCCAGCCCCTAGATGGCAGCAGTGAAGAACTTATACGCACTTCGGTGCAACTACTGGGCTGAGATCTGTGACAAACGCACGAATTATAGAAGCACCCGGAAAACTAGGCCCTTTGCCTTTATCATTATTCTGACGAAAGGACCACAGTTATGGGGGTTTCTTGGCTGTGGCTTTTATAACACCCGGGAAGCAAAGTAAAACCAAGCCCCAAACCAAACCGACCAAACAAAAAAAAAGGGAACGTCTGGTTTAGACCCTAAGCCCGGGCAGCAGGAGTAGGTTTCCCATTTCCTTCCCTGGCGAGACACCAGCTAGGCCCATTCGTTAGACGACCAAAGGAGGCCGCCTTTGAGGCTACCAGCTCCGGCCAGGGCCCAGAGGGAGAGTGTCACTCACACGCCGCTCCGCCAGCCCACGACTTTGTTTTTGTAGCAGGCGATTTCGAAGCGCTTCCCGGCTCGCTTCATTCGTACTACGGCCACATTGGTCAGGCGGATCTGGTTGGTGGGGGTGAAGATCGACATCGTGGCCGCTCACAGACCTTGGGTCCGGCGAACCAAGCAAACCTGCGCTGCCGGCCTGAGAGCTAACTGAGCCTCGATTTAACCACCCGGCGGCGCGTGGCACAGTAACGCCCACAGACTGCGCAGCGCCGTTACTAACTCGGCCGAAACGATCCACCCACGCAACTTACTGCGCAGGCGTCAGGTGTTAAGAAAACCGGGCGAGGAGGAGGGAGCTAGAACGCCTGCGCATTGTGGCTTTTACGACACTGCTCCACGCCCGGAAAGAGTGGGTCTCTTCCTTGACGTAATTTTCTTTCCGGAATGAACGAAAGAGCTCTGATTGGTTGGTGGAGCTAATGTTTGGTGACCGGGTGGAAACTCAGTGCCGGGCACCTCACAGTTCCGCGGAGTTCCGGGCCACGCCCACATTACCCTTTCGTTATAGAAAAGTTTTAACACAAAAAACGTAGAGAAAAAAGTGTAATGAACTGCCATGTACCCATCACCCTGCTTCAACAATTATCAACATTTTGCCGTTCTTGTTTCATTTTCCCTCTTTTTTTTTTGTTGGAGTATTTTAAAGCAAATCATCATAAAGTTTTAGCTTTAAATACTTCAGTCTAAACTCCTAACAAATACACCCAACGAGATTAACCATAATTCCTTAATAGCGTCTCATTGCTAGTCCATAATCAAATTTCCCCTAAATAATGCCTTTTTACAGTCGGTGTGTTTCAAATGAGATTCAAACAGGCTCACATATTGCATTCGGTTGGCGATGCCCTTAGTTTCTTAACGCCGACTTTCCCTCCCCCACCCCTCCTTTTTTTGCCTGCTTCTCTCCAGATTCGCCCCTAACTCTCAAGCGCGGATTCCTGAGCCGCAGGCAGCACTCCCGCTTCCTCGCCGGGAGCTCTGGGCGGTGCTTTTCTCTGGGCCCGCCCCCTTCCGCCTCTGAGCCAATCCGGACAGGTCTGCGAGTGGCATGGCTGCCCCCAGGTCCTCCGACTGTGGGCGCCCAGCTAATGCTGTGAGGTATTTCTGGTGGTCTCCCAGTATCCACGCCGGACAATAAGTTTTTTAGGTCCGCAGTCCTGGTGTCTTGTCGGGCCGCAGGGCTCGGGCTCTGAGGAGAATGGGTAAGGTCCACAGGCGGGTAAGGTTCGTGGGGTGGGAAGGGAGGAAACCGTTTTTCTGAGACCCTCGGGCCCCTTCCTCCAGAGTATGTTGCCCTTGTTAGCCCGGGACCGGTGCCGCTGGGGGCAAGGGAGGACTGATCCCTGCTCGTGACCTGGCTTTTGCCTTTTCAGGCTAGGAGATGAGTTTAGAACTATGCTTCTAACCTCAAGCAAAAGACAGAGAAAACTTTCTCCCCCATACCCACGTGTGTTGAGGACTTTTGGTCCTTTCCAGGAGTAGCACCTGTAAACCTCAAATCTTAGACCTCGCCTTTTGAAATTACCCCCAGGTTCAGCATTTGAGTCCAGGTCCATCCATATCTCCCTTAAAAAAAACTGGGACTTGAGGTCAATTATTTGAGAACCCTTTGCAAGTAGATGTGGGTCTCTAAAAATAAAATTAAAAAAAAGAGGAATACGTTTAGTATTATTTTTCTTATGGAGCAGCGTAACAAAGCAAAATTAACTCATAATTCCACATAAAGTGTTTTGAATTTATGTTCCCTTCTTTTCCAAACGCTATATTCAAATGAAGATAAAATTTTATATTCTTGTTTTGAATTAGCATTATCATGACAATTATATTACATATCACAGTGTCTTGTTTTTATTAGAGTTGCTTTTTATAGATTTCTTAGCGGGGTTGTTGAATATGAAGGTTGGTTTTTCTTTTTCTTTTTTTTTCTAAAATAAGAATGGATATCATTGTATATGTAACTTCAAATAAAATTACTTATATGTGTCATTTTAAATTTAGATCCTTCTTTGGATATGTGGGACTTCTCATCTTTAATATCGTTATGGATAAACAGGTTTTACATATATTTGGGCTTTGCCTTTGGCTTTAGCCTTTGGATTTGTTTCCAGATTGTCATCAGAAAGCAGGTAAGTGGAGTTACTTTTTTTTTTTTAATATTTATTTATTTATTTATTTTTGGCTGTGTTGAGTCTTCGTTGCGTGTGGGCTTTCTCTAGTTGCGGCGAGTGGGGGCTACTCTTTGTTGTGGTGCGCGGGCTTCTCATTGTAGCTTCTCATGTTACGGAGCATGGGCTCTAGGCACGCAGGCTTCAGTAGTTGCGGCATGCAGGCTCAGTAGTTGTGGCACACGGGCTTAGTTGCTCCGTAGCCTGTGGGATCCTCCCGGGCCAGGGCTTGAACCCGTGTCTCTTGCATTAGCAGGTGGATTCTTTACCACTGTGCCACCAGGGAAACCCAAGTGGAGTTACTTTTTCTAGGAGAGTATTTGGCATCAAATTTTATAGACAATGCAGAGTGCAGATTTTCTAAGGCTTCCAGAAAAATATAGAAATTCTAAAAGGAACTTTCGATCACTTTTATGTTTGGTCTTTAGAAATAGTTTTTCAATGCCAAAAAATTTTTCTTGTCAGTTTTTATAGACTAAGTTATTTACCTTTTCTTTGATGGGCTGTGGAAGTCTCATTGTTAAGATACAGGAAGGTTTTGTAATGAAAAATTAAACTTTTGCAAAAACCCCAAATCTGCTTAGCACCCTTAAGGGGTAGTAGTGTTCTCTTTTCCTTCCAGTAATTAAGAATCAGAAAATAAGTTTCTACTATTATTCCACTACAACACATTATGGGTGAAAGTGGGTGTAATTTTATCCTGGAAGGAATGGGAATCATTATAGTCTTAAGAAATGTGGGCCCTGCTTTTAAAAGGACCTAATTATACCAAGGGGTTAATATTTGAGGAGTACAATTGAAAAATTAAGAGAATAATAAAATGGGTCAGTATCTGAGCGATTGATAATTTTCATTCCTAATGAAGTTGGGAAAATATTCAAACTTGATGGATTTTGTGTTTATTTCAAGAACAAAAACTCACAGGAGAAAACCGTTCCGAAAGCATCTCAGGATTTGATGACAAATGGCTATATCTCTCTTCAAAAGAAGGAAGTCTTTGTGTCTGGAGTGAAGATTTTCTATGGTTCTCAGACTGGCACAGCAAAGGTAAGAACTTATAATGACACTTTTCATTGGGTCTCCTGATCTTTTAAGAAAATTTCTGAAAAGTGTTCTTTAGCAGTGAACTGAATTGGTCTTCTAATCTTTTTTCATCTTTGTTTTTCCTTTTTACAGCATACATTTTTCCTTTCTGGGGTGGTGGGTGAGTTTCACCTCCATTTCAGCTGATTGGGGGTGTCTGGTGGTCACTGTCATGCGGGGTCTTTGTTCTGAAGCTTGCTTCTTGCTCAGCAGAATGGAGACTTGGATTTCCAAGTCCATTACTGGGTATAGAAGTAGGGAAGATAGTGAAAAGTGGCAGCAGTATGTCCAGTATGGGCCCTGACGTTCACAACTTCACACATCTATTTAATGAAATGTATTTTGATTTCTCATAGTGTTAAAAATGTTAATGATATACATTGAATACTGTGTAGATACCGGCTGCAGATATATAGCTGAAAGATGCTTTAATTGTATCTAGATGCTGCTTGCTTCTTTATTATAAAGGTCACAGCTATTTATTGCTTTCTAGGAAAAGATTCTAAGACTAACATGAAAATGAATTAAAAACAGAATTCCTTGTCATTATTTTGGTAGAGTATTAAAGAGGGTTCTACTGCCCTCTCGTGGATGTTTTGTAGAATACTACTTTTTAAAAGGTTTTTTCAGTATTTTGTTGTGTGTGTCATAATTGAAGGTCACTTATAATTAAGTTCAACCTTAAGCAGCAGAGGCAGGAAACTGGAAGAAACGTTAGAAAGGTATCTGAGCTGCGGAAACAAAGTCTTTTTATGTTATTCATAGAAGATCTCATTCCTAGCCTCTCTTTTATGCCCGCTTTTACGTTTTTTTAAGATCAAATTAATACTTGCAGATGGTAACAAATCCAGGTGTACAGAGGGTTCATAATGAAAAGTACTCTTCAGAGAATCTATTTTAGCTATTGATATTTCTGTTTTTAATTCCTCTGAGGGTTATTTCTTGAACCTCCTTCTGCCATGTTTCTAGATTTATCAAGTTAGATAAAGGTTATTGACTCCTCGTATTAGTCAGTTCCTCACATCTCAGCGGCTTAATATTGTTGCCCACATCATTGTTGATGTGAGTTAAATGGCCCCCCCTTCTTCTTTTTTTTTTTTTTTTTGCGGTATGCGGGCCTCTCACTGTTGTGGCCTCTCCTGTTGCGGAGCACAGGCTCTGGACGGGCAGGCTCAGCGGCCATGGCTCACAGGCCCAGCTGCTCCGCGGCATGTGGGATCTTCCCGGACCGGGGCACGAACCCGTGTCCCCTGCATCGGCAGGCGGACTCTCAACCACTGCGCCACCAGGGAAGCCCTGGCCCCCCCTTCTTAAAGCTGTACCGTCTGAATTTCTCTATTTGGCTTTCACATTTGATTGATTCGTATTTGGCTTCGTATAGAAGACTCGGGCAGAATTTTTTTCTTACAACTTTGAGGGCATCACATCCTTGTCTTTTTTTAATAAATTTATTTATTTTTTATTTTATTTACTTTGGTTGCATTGGGTCTTCGTTACTGCATGCGGGCTTTCTCTAGTTGTGGCGAGAGGGGGCTACTCTTTGTTGTGGTGCGTGGGCTTCTCATTGTGGTGGCTTCTCGTTGCAGAGCATGGGCTCTAGGTGTGCGGGCTTCAGTAGTTGTGGTGCACGGGTTCAGTAGTTGTGACTCGTGGGCTCTAGAGCGCAGGCTCAGTAGTTGTGGCTCACGGGCTTAGTTGTTCCGCAGCATGTGGGATCTTCGTGGATCAGGGCTCGAACCCGTGTCCCTGGCATTGGCAGATGGATTCTTAACCACTGCGCCACCAGGGAAGCCCCCTGGAAGCTTTTAGAATCATCCCTTTGTCCTAGATGTTTGGAGCTTTTGTGAGATGGTGTCTAGGTTGGGTCTTTTTCAGCCATTGTATTGTATACTTGGGCTGTTTTGTTTTGAAAATTCGTGTGCATTAATTCTGCTAATATTCCTTGGGTAAACTTCTTTCCCTTCTGTTTTCTCTGTTCTACTCGGTTAGTTGGATGTTGGACCTTTTGGATGGTCTCCTGTGTCTCAAATCCTCTCTCATACAAAAGTAACTTTCTTTCTGTTCTGGGTTCTTGGATTTCAATTCCAAACCTTTTTTCTGAATGTTTTAGTTCAGCTATAATGTTTTTAATTGCAAAAATGCCATTCTGTTCCATTTCTATTGCATCTTTTTCATAATCTAAGAATATATTTCAGTGAGTTCCTTTTTCGGTTCCCTGATTTATCTGCTTCCTGCATGTTTCTGCTGCTGCTATTTCTCTTTCCTGTCACTTGTTCTCATCATGGTCTTGGTGATCCATGGTTTTCTGTTCATATTTAGGATGGAATGATGGGGTAGCTGGCGTGGATTTTCTCTGTTAACTGTGTAAATAGACTTGTTTTCTCTAGTTGTAAGTTCTCACTGTATGCTGTGTGCAAGGTGGGTCAGTGTATGCCAGGTGACCTATCTACCTCACATCTCCCTGTAACTACCACCTCAATTTTATTTTATTTTTTATAGTATTACTCCTTGAAAGTGTTGTCTGTGCTTGCTGTCTCTAATTTCTCTACTCCTGTCTTTCTTGACCCACTCCAGTTAGGCTTGTGTGCCCCAGCCTGCTCCCAGTGACTTTTATGTCGCTAATTAATTCTCAGTCTTCATCTTACTTGACCTCTTAGCTGCACGACAGCTCCTTCCTTGTTGACATACTTTCTCCATTGAACTTTTGGGACACTCTTCTCTAGGTTCTCCTCCTCTGCTGAGGCTAGTCTGCCTCACTATCATTTGCAGATTTCTCCTCATCTTCTTGCCCTCCAAAGATAGGAGCATCCCAGGGCACAGTTCTTGAGACTATGTCTTTATCTGCACTCACTTCATTCTCTAAGGGATCTTGTTATCTAGAGCTTTCAGTTCTATTTATTGGAATTTGACAGAGTTTTTCTGTAAAGGGCTAGATAGTTTATTTTACATATGTTTTTTAGGTTTGCAGGTTTCGCAAGGCGTATGGCCTTTGTTGCAGCTGTTCAGCTCTGCTGATGTCGTGTGAAAGCAGCCATGGACAATGTGTAAATAAATGAGCATGACTGTATTCCAGTAACCTTTACCTATAAAGACAGAGGGCCGGATTCGGCCTGCAGCCCTCAGTGTGCTGATCCCTGTAGTAGACGGTGGCCTCTAAATTTATGTTTCTAATCTGACTTTTCCTCTCAACCCCAGACCCTCATCCCCAGCAGCCTATCTTAGATCTTCCTGTGGATGGATGTGTAGTAGGCGACTCAGAATTAGTGTGCTCACAACTAAACTCCCAATTTTGTGCCCAAACCTGTTCCCCCTCTAATTTTTCCCATTCCGATAAATGGCAACTTCATCCTTCCAGTTGCCCAGTTCAAAAAAACCTTTGACTTCTCTCTTTTTCTTACTACCCACATCCAGTCTGTCAGCACATACTGTGTGTTCTACTTTCAGAATAGATCCAGGTTCCAGTCCCTGCTTACCGCCTTCACTGCTGCTGCCCTGGCCTAAGCCAGCCTCCCTCATATTTTGTCTGGGTTAATGTGGTCATCTCATCCTCAGCCTCCTTCATTCAGCCCATCCCAGCAACCACAGGGACTGTGAGAACTTAGGCAAAATGGTGTTAATCATCTTGGCTTAAGACCGTGCAGTGACTCCCTCATTCACTTAAAGCAAATGCCAAAGCCCCCATGGTGGCCGAGAGGCCCTCACTTCTGCGTCTCCAGCATCTCCTTTACCTCATGTCCTTGGTCTCCCCCCTCCAGTCTTATTAATCTCCTTGCCGAGTGTGCTCACGCATTTGGGCCTTCTCACTTACACGTCCCTCTGCTGGGGATAGCCTCTGGCTTGCTCTCTCATTTCCTTCAGGTTTTGCTCAAGTCTTTATTTTTGAGGCCTGTGGCAGTGTTTTCTGACACCAAATAGTTGTTTTCCCACACCTGTTTTCCGATTCTGGTACTGTCTACCCGAGTTATTGTCAGATTGTCCCCACATCAGACACCAGTCACAAGTCCCGGGGCATGTGTACTCCTGACTGGCCAGCTATAAATTCAGGGGTTCCCACAGTCTCTTTCTTAGGTTTGCTGATTCCCTAGAATGACTCACAGAATGCAGGGAATTGCTTTGATTAGTCTACTGGTTTATAACAATGAATATAACTCAGAAAGAGACAAATGGGAGAGATGATGGGGCAGGTCTTGGGGGGAGGGGCGGCACAGAGCTTCTGTGTCCTATTTCAACGTGCCACCTCCTCGGCATATCAATGTGTCCCCCAATCCCTGTCATTTAGGGTTTTTTATGGAGATTTCATTACGTAAGCATGACTGATTAAATCATCGACCATATCTGATTGAACTTCATCTCCTGCCACCCCTCCCCTCCCCTCCCCACAGGGAGAGAAGATGTTGAAAGTTCTAAGCCTTTAATCCCAGGGTTGGTTTTCTGCTGACCAGCCCCCATCCTGAAGCCATCTAGTCCCCCACCGCAACCCCAATGAGTCATCTCATTAACATACCAAAGACAGCAAGTTCCAAGGATTTTAGGAGCTCTAGGAGCTCCCTGGAGGCAAAGACCAAATATTTATTTTTTATTATATACACCTGTCCTGGCCCTCCTTATGTAAAATAACAACTCTCCCCATGCCTCCAATACCGTATTCTTACGCCTTATCCTCTTTTCCTCCACAGCACTGGTCACCATGCGATATACTGTGTATTTTCTCATTTGTGTGTTTGTTCTCTCTCCGTCCATTAGAATATCTCCTTGAGGATGTTCCCTGATGCTCCTTAAGGGCAGGGAACATGTGTGCCTTGTTTCCTGTTGGGTAATATCGCCCAGAGCTGAGACTGGCCTGGTGGATGCCCAGTAAATGGCGAGGGCAGGCTTAGCTTTAGTCCTGGCAGGTGGCGAGCCAAGTGTTAGGCTACCAAGCCAGAAAGAGGAAGAGAATTTCCTGGGGTACCAACATCTGGCTAGAAGTTGTAGCTTTCCCCAGCCATTTGGTTCATTTTGTTTGGAGAAGAGGCTGGCAGGGGTCTGCCTGGGGGTAAAAGGTGAGTGTCGCTAAGGCTCTGTGTGCGCTGGTACCACATAATACGGATTCTCTGTATTCCACAGGGTCTTCTCTGGCCCACTGCTCCCTCCCTTTTTTTTTTTTTTTTTTTTTTTTTTTTTTTTTGCGGTACGCGGGCCTCTCACTGCCGTGGCCTCTCCCGTTGCGGAGCACAGGCTCCGGACGCGCAGGCTCAGCAGCCATGGCTCCACGGGCCCAGCCGCCCCGCGGCATGTGGGATCTTCCCGGACCGGGGCACGAACCCACGTCCCCTGCATCGGCAGGCGGACTCTCAACCACTGCGCTACCAGGGAAGCCCCTCCCTCCCATTTTTGCCCCAGTGACTGACTGATCCCAGAGCCCCTCTGGTTTTCTGTGTCCCCCGAGGCTTGCTTCTGTCTGTCAGCCTGCTGCTTTTTGCTTTCTGTCTTCCAGAAATGTGCTCACAGTTCTCATATTCCCCACTCTCTTCCCACTATGGTATTTCTTCTCCATCTATATGTTTATTCTAGTGGGGCAAACAGCTGAAATGTCTACCAGTACATATAATAAGTACATATAATCCCACATATGTACTTGTAGAGGGAGAACAACACAGCTGAGTGATGATCTCTGTAAAGATGCTTGAGAAAATGGTAGAAATGAGAATAGAATTTGTGTTTATGGTGATACATGTCAGTCACCGGAAAAGCTTTTCATGCTAAATGCCTCACTACCTTGCCAACAGGAATAAATGAAGACTGTATTTTTCATTTATTTAGCTTATTGAAGACTTTATTTGATTTTTTTCCCTCCTATCAGGGATTTGCGACAGTTCTTGCCGAAGCAGTTAGCTCCCTTGGTCTGCCTGTGGCACTTATTAATCTGAAGGAATATGACCCAGATGACCATCTAGTAGAAGAGGTTGGTAATTGTCTTATTTTCCCTTCAATCACAACTTTCAAATTTAATTGATCTCCTGTGTTCTGCGATAAAAAGACTCTTCAGAATAAATTTAATTTTCACGCTAAAGGATTCCAGTCGGTAGAGCGTTCAGTGTCAGTCAGGGGTGCTGAGTGTGTGGTGGCGTGCTGACTCGGGCGTGAGTGATGTGGGGCCGGCCCCTCTGGGGTGTTAGACTGAAAGCTTGGGTGGTTGGAAGTTCCCTCCTGCTTTGACTGTCGTAATCAAAGAGGGTTGTCACTGATGGCCATGTGCCGGGCATGTGAACCACGTGTAGGCCTGCTGAAAGGTCAGGAGCCACTTGGGTGCCAGAAGCAGTATGGGTTTTGGAGTTAGAGAAATCTCTTTAACTGGCTGTGTGACCTCCAGGTGTAACGTCATATCTGTGAGAGCTTCATTTCATCACCTGAGGAATGCGCCGCCCCCTCCTCTAGCCATGCCCAGGTAGGGAAGTTGGCCTGACAGCAGCGGTTCTCCAAGCGTGGTCCTTGAACCGACAGTATCAGCATTTCCTGGGAACTCGTTAGAAATGCAGATTCTCAGGTCCTAGCCCAGCCCCGCGGAATCAAAGTCTGGATGTGGGGCTGTGTTTTAACAAGTGCCCCAGGTGATTCTGAAGCAGCTAAAGTTGGAGAAGCAGGTGGAACAGGCATTGACAAGCCTTTTCTATAAAGGGCCAGATGGTAAATATCTTCAGCTTTGTGGGCACGCAGCTACTGAGTTCTGCCTTTGAGGCACAAAACAGCCAGAGATGGTATGTAAATGAGTGAGTGTGGCTGTGTTCCAATAAAATTTTATTTATAAAAACAGGCAGTGAGTGGGACTGGGCCTGCGGGCTGTAATTTGCCAGTCCCTTCTTAGTGGATAAACCTCTAGCTGTAAATGTGCATTTCTTTCTCCCCCAAGAAAACGTTGGAGTACAAGTGAGTGAGCTTGAATCTGCTCTAAATTATTTGTTAAAAATTATTAGCAAAAAAAAAAAAAATTATTAGCAAGCTTGGATACTTAATTATTCGTAAGGGATTACTTATAACTTACCTCCTGACTTGGAACTGTGAAGATGCACTCGAGCAGATGAAATACTGTGGCTCACAGGACTGAAGATGTGTTTTGTTTCCCGTGGAGATGATGGTGCCAAGTGTTAAGTCACTTTACATTTAACGTTTTATGGCTTTGATTTTTCAGGGCATTTTTTAGAGATCTTTCTGTATTTCTTCCTGACTGATTTGGCTTTTGTTTCCAATATGACAAGCAGGAGCTGATAGGAATTTATAGTCTGGGAAATGGGATGAAGTACATGGTGAAGGGCACCAGGAGGTGTGGTGGGCTTTCTCCCCTGTGCAGGGTCCTGGCCCTGTTTGCTTTCTCTTTTGAAAATAAGTAACATTTCTAAAAGCACTCTTTGTCTTTAGAGGTTAGTGTGATATGAATGTCAGCATTTCAAAAAGGATTTTCTTCATTGAGATAACTTTATATCTTGGCTACTCTTCTGAAATAATGACTTTGTTGGTTAGGTTACCAGTAAAAATGTCTCTGCCTTCCTGGTTGCTACCTACACTGACGGTCGGCCGACTGAGAGCGCAGAGTGGTTCTGCAGGTGGCTAGAGGAAGCAGCCAATGACTTTCGATTTGGCAAAACGTACCTGAAGGGTGTGAGATACGCAGTGTTTGGCCTGGGAAATTCTGCATACGTGAGCCACTTCAACAAGGTAGGTACAAGGTAGGTACGTGTTGAATTGTAGGGATACATTCTCTTAAGTGAAAAAAAAAAATCACCTACACAGGTACATATATGTGGGTGTATGTGAGACAATCTGTACTCTCTGGTACTTACTAATAAACTTTTTGTGTTATTCTTTTTATCGCTGGGAATTGCTACTGTATAGGAGGCTCTCAGTAAATTTTTATTGAATAAAATGAATGAAAATGCCTCCTGTTGTCTAGCGTCTTAGCGGCTTGTATTCATGGCCAGAGTCTAGCCTCCTGCCCCCAGGCAGGACCTTGTAGATGGAAGGTCCCTGATTCTTTGGACTTTCTCAACTACCTGTTCTGTTGTGGAATGACCTTTACTGCCCAAACTAATTCTTCACAAAGTTAACTTGTCTTTTAATCATTACTTTTCTTTTCTTTTTCTTCTTAAATTTTATTTATTTATTAGTTGTTTGTGCCGGGTCTTAGTTGTGGCAGGTGGGCTCCTTAGTTGTGGCACACGGGCTCCTTAGTTGTGGCAGGCGGGCTCCTTAGTTGTGGCATGCATGTGGGATCTCATCCCTGGACCAGGGATCGAACCTGGACCCCCTACATTGGGAGCATGGAGCCTTAACCACTGCGCCACCAGGGAAGTCCCTAATCATTACTTTGTAAAGTGATGAAATAGAAGAAAAACATTCACTGCCCTTTATGTAATAAAATATTAATTGTTTCTTTTGTTCTCTTGGATCCTTTTTTCTGAGTGAAATTAACTTGGCTCCTTTTCCTTTGCATTCTCTATACTTTAAAAAAGAAAAATGTGTGGGCTTCCCTGGTGGCACAGTGGTTGAGAGTCCGCCTGCCGATGCAGGGGACATGGGTTCATGCCCCGGTCCGGGAGGATCCCACATGCCGCGGAGCGGCTGGGCCCGTGAGCCATGGCTGCTGAGCCTGCGCATCTGGAGCCTGTGCTCCGCGACGGGAGAGGCCCGCCACCGAAAAAAAAAAAAAAAAAAGAAAAATGTGGAGGCTCTCAGTTTCTTAGTGGTTCTGAAAAGTGATCAGAATTTTTTTACGTGTACCTCTCCCCAGATGTGAGCCCAGCTCGGCTCACCTATTTTTGGTAGAATGTGAGGAAAGATGAAGGTGGAGATCTTTCTGTAAAAGTTGTTTTCATCCAGCTGTTCTATCAAGATGTGTATTCTCTGTGCCTGCCCCCCCCTTCATATTTTCAAAGAAAGTAGACACAAGGTAAAATTCAGATATGTAAATATTTTGTTTACTGCCTTGCCACTTAGGAAGCCTGTTAAGTTTTTGAACTCTTAATTGTACTTCATGATAACTCCTGTGCCTCAGCTTAAGTGCTTCATACTGTAATAAAATGCATCTCTGGCTTATGAAATCATGAGTCTTGCCAAATGGGCTCCGTTTGTACTTTGTTGTTTAATGGTCTTTGACCCCAGAGGCTTTATTTTAGAAGGAACTGATTTTGCTACTGAGTGATTTCATTCTGACCATGATTTAGAAGACTAGTTTTCAAATTCTTCATCAGGTACTAACCCTTAGTTTAACAAAATAATTTGTCGGTCCCTATATTTAAAAAAAAAAAAAAAATCTTCCACAGAATCTTACCTGAACGTATCGATGGCTGGAGGGCCTGAAGCCCTTTTGACTGGGCAGTTCCTTCTTCCTAGCAGCGGCCGGGAACAGGGCCCCAGTGGAACCCCAGGCTGTCGCAGAGCAGGCTGCCAGCCTCGGATCTGGAGGACTGTTGTAGCTCACCTGTCTCTTTCTCCTGCAGGTGGGGAAGGACGTGGACAAGTGGCTCTGGATGCTCGGCGCCCATCGCGTGATGTCCCGAGGGGAGGGTGACTGCAACGTGGTTAAAAGCAAACACGGCAGCATTGAGGCCGACTTCACAGCGTGGAAGGCTAGGTTCATCTCCCGGCTACAGGCGCTCTGTAAAGGAGAGAGAAAACCCTGTGGTGGCAACTGCAAGAAAGGCAAGTGCGAGTCTAATCAGCACGGCTCAGAGGCAATGGAGCCAGGGTCTCACGCTCAAGAGGGATTCCATCAGAGAGACACTGAGGTACGGAGCCCACGTGTCCATGTCTCCCTGTTTTCCTCCTGCATTTGGAGGTGCTGAACCTTTCCTCTGTCCTGGGAAGCTCTTTCCTTGGCCTCTGGTTAGAAGGAAGAGCTGAAACTCATGTGGGGATGTTCTAGAGAGAGTGGGATCTTAGGATAAGCTATGTTGTGCTGGATGCTTTCCTAAATATGTTCTTTAATTGTTGCATTGCTGGAATCCAGTAGGTTTCTACCCCAGTTTGCAGGTTAGGAAACGGGTCTGGAGAAGTTGAATATGTCCCGGGCTGAGCTCATGTCTTTTTACCCCTAAACCACATATTCCTCCCAACCTCTTTTAACCTCCGTTAATCACTCAAACTTGAAGGCTGCGAGTCATCCCAGATTCCTTTCTTTCATCCCTCACATTCTAAAAATTTCTCTTTCTTCAGATACCCCAGTTCCTTTGAAGCTCGTGTTACATCAGGCTATATCACTACTGTTGTTTTTGGGCCACCTGGTCGCTTGCATCATTTGGGAACAACTTGACATTCTGATTCCCTGTCTTTCTCGCCACCCTTGTTCCTGTCATTCCTCTTTGTGGCTGAGCCATCCACATAGATGATTTATCCTGTCCCTTTCCTGGCCTTCACACCCCCAGGAACCATTTTCTCCAGTGACCTCGGCCTCCCACTTCCGTGCTCACCTTTGACATTTCATGTCCCTATGACCTGAACTCTGAGCCCTCTCTGGTGCTCTTACTTTAAAGTTCTTTGGACCCCACGTTTTTTTCACAGGGTAGTGCTAACTGCTTACTTCACTTCTGTCTTTACCCAGTTTGAATTTTATACTCGTTCTCTTAAATACATCTTCAATTCTCTTGCCATCCACTCCCTCTTCCAACCCAGTTGGCTAAGCCCCAAGCCAGGTTGGAACCTGTCTGCCTTCTCTTTGACCACAGATTGGTGACCACGGGCTCAGGTGTGCAGCCAGAACTGCCCCCAGTCTCCAGCATCCTCTCACTCTCCGAGACCACTGTTCAGTGCTCTTTTTCCCCCACCCCTTCCTCCATCTCTCATAGGAAGCCGACAGAGAATTCTCTTAGAGCCTCCCCGCGCTGTCTACAAATCCTGCCATCTTTTCTGCCACAGAGACCAAGTATCTAGTTCCTGTCAAGCCCACTCTGTGCATGCTCTGGGATCAAGGACTTTGTTCCCTTTGTTCCTTCATATATTGTATGTCTCTCCCCTGCACTGTTAATCTCTCTCTCTCTCCTAGGTGGTCCCCAGAAATACATAAACGTGCTCTAAACACGTTTGTTTAAACACAGGAATCACCTGCGTTTAAACAAACACAGAAAGCAAATAAGAAACAAGCCTTTCCTTTGTTCTGTGCCTTTCAGCTGCTGTTTCATTTTTCTGCTCTTTTTCTAGCCAGTCTCTTTGCTTTCATTTGTTTATCTTCCCTCCAGTTGGCTCCTACCATTTTAAAAAACTTAAAAAAAATTTGAGGTAAAATTTGCAAAGCATAAAATTAACCATTTTAAAATACATACAATCTAGTGGTATTTAGTACATTCCCAATTTTGTGTAACCACTGCCTGTATCAAGTTCCAATACCTTTTCATCACCTCAAAAAAAACACTTACCCATTAAGCAGTCACTCTTCACTCCCTTTCCCTCAGCCCTGACAACCTCCACTTTGCTTTCTGTCTCTATGGATTTACTTATTCTGGATGTTTTATACAAGTGGAATCATTAATATGTGACCTTTCTTGTCTGACTTCTTTCACTTAGCATAAAAGAGTTTCATCCATGTTGTAGCATGTGTCAGTACTTCATTCCTTTTTATGGCTGAATAATATTCCATTGAATGGAATTGTTGATCCATTTATCTGTTGATGAGAATTCTGGTTTTTTCTACCTTTTGGCTATTGTGAATAGTGCTGCTATGATATTCATGTACAGGTGTTTGTTTGAGTAACTTTTCAGTTCTTTTGGGTATATACCTAGGAGTGGATTGCTGGATCTTGTGGTAATTCTATGTTTAACTTTTTGAGGAACCACCAAGCTGTTTTCCCCAGTGGCTGCACCTTTTTTTTTTTTTTTTTTTTGCCATACGCGGGCCTCTCACCGTTGTGGCCTCTCCCATTGCGGAGCACAGGCTCTGGACGCGCAGGCTCAGCGGCCATGGCTCACGGGCCCAGCCTCTCTGTGGCATGTGGGATCCTTCCAGACCGGGGCACGAACCCGTGTCCCCTACATTGGCAGGCGGACTCTCAACCACTGTGCCACCAGGGAAGCCCCAAGGCTGCACCTTTTTGCATTCCTACCAGCAATGTACAAGGCTTCCAATTTCTCCCCATCCTTGTCAACACTTTTTTTTTTTCTTAATTGTAGCCGTTCTAGTGAGTGTGAAGTGATGTCTCCTTGAGGGTTTTTTAATTTTTGTTTATTTTTTTAATTTTTAAAATTTTTATTGAAGTGTAGTTTATTTACAATTCTGTGTTAGTTTCATGTGTACAGGAAAGTGATTCAGTTATATATGCACACACATATATTTATATATATAAACGCATATGTGTATATACTTTTTCAGATTCTTTTCCACTTATAGTTATTACAAGATATTGAATATAGTTCTCTGTGCCATGCAGTAGGTCCTTTTTGTTTATCTCTTACCAGATATATAACTTGCAAATATTTCCTCCCATATAGACTTCCTTTTCACTTTCTTGGTCATGTTTTTTGATGCACTAAAGTTATTAATTTCCATGAAGATCAGTTTGTCCATATTTTCTTTTGTTGCTCATGCTGTAGGGGTCATATATATGAATCCATTGCCAAATCCAAGGTTATGAAGAGTTATTTCTATGTTTTCTTCTAAGAATATTATAGTTTTAGTTCTTATATTTAGGTCTTTGCTTCATTTTGAGTTAATGTTTGTGTATGGTGTGAGGTCAGGGTCCAGTTTTATTCTTTGGCATGTGTAGATCCATTTGTCCCAGCACCATTTGTTGAGAAGACGATTCTTTCTCGACTGAATGGATAGCACCCTTGTCAAAAGTCCATTGCCCACAGATGTGTGAGTTTATTTCTGGATTCTGTTCCACTGATCTGTATGTCTCTCCTTAGGTCAGTACCACACTGTAGATTTGTAGTTAAGTTTTGACATCAGGAGTCCTCCTACTTTGTTCTTTTTCAGTGTTGTTTTGGTTATTTTGGGTTCATTGCAATTCCATATGAATTTGAGAAGCAGTCTTTCCATTTCTGCAAAACACATTGTTGGGCTTTTGATAGGGACTGTATTGAGTTTGTAAATCACTTTGGATAGTATTGTCATCCTAACAGTATAAAGTCTTTCAGTCCGTAAACACGGGCTGTCTTTCCATTTATTTATGTGGTCTTTAGTTCCTTTCAGCAATATTTTGAGTTTTCAGTGTCCAAGTGTTTTACCTTGGTTAAATTTTTTCTTACGTATTTTATTCCATTAGAAGCTATTTCCACAGTCATCAGAGAAGATACTTTGGTTGATTTTAATCTTGTTTTGTGGCCTAATGTGTGGTCTGTCCTGGAGAATATTCCATGTGCACTTGAGAAAAATGTGTAGTCTCCTGTTTTTGGGTGGAATGTTCTCTATATATCTGTTAGGTCTAATGGATTATAGTGTTGTCCCAGTCCTCTATTTCCTTATTGATCTTCTATCCAGTTGTTCTATCCATTATTGAAAGTGGGGTATTGAAGTTTCCAACTGTTATAGAATTATCTTTTCTCCCTTCAGTTTGTCAATTTTTACTTCATATGTTTTGAGCTCTGTTAGGTCCATATATGTTTATAATCATTAAGTCTTCTTGGTGGGTTAATACTTTTATCAATATATAATATCCTTTGTCTCTTGTAACAATTCTTGGCTTAAAGTCTATTTTGTCTGATGTTAGTATAGCTACCCTTGCTCTCTTTTGGTTATTATTTGCATGGCATATCTTTTTCTTTCTTTTTTTTATGTTTTTTTTTTTTTGGCCATGCCACGTGGCTTGCAGGATCTTAGTTCTCCAACCAGGGATCAAACCCAGGCCCCCTACAGTGGAAGCACAGAGTCCTAACCACTGGACCACCAGTGAATTCCCTGGAATATCTTTTTCTGTCCTTTGACTTTCAACCTGTTCTTATCTTTGTAGCTAATGTGAGTCTCTTGTAGACAAAGTGGAGTTGGTTCCCTTCCTTCTTCTTTGTTTTGATCCATTCTACTTGTCTCTGCCTTTTAATTGGAGAGTTTAACCCATTTTCACTTATAATAATTACTGATAAGCAAACGCTTCTGTCATTTAATTATACTTTCTATATATTTTACATCTTTTTGTTCCTTAATTTTTCCATTACTGCCGCCTTTTGTGTTTTATTGTTTTTTTTTGTGGTGTACCAATTTGATTCCTTTCTCATTTTCATTTCTGTACATTTTTAAGTTATGTTTTGGTAGTCACCCTGGGGATTGCAGTTAACCTCTTTGACTTACACCACTCTATTTGTATTAACATCACCTTTATATACAAAAACTGTGCTCCTATTCAGCTCTGTCACGTCCCCTCTATGTTATTGCTGTCACAAATTATGAGTTTACATGTTGTGTGCCCATTAACATGGATTTATAGTTAGTTATTTTATGCGTTTGTCTTTTAAATCATATAGGGAAAAAGGAATTATAATCAAAAATTACAGTAATACTGACTTTTATATTTAACCTATATACCTGACTTTAATTTTCCTTTTTCTTGGTTCCGTGTTTACTTGGTTTTTGTAAGCCTTTGGCTAATTCTCAGAGTTCTGACAAAATGACATCTGTTGGTTTTTGCTTAATTTTTAGGTGTGTCTGTGGGGGAACAAGCCCTTGGAGTTACCTACTCTGGCGTTTTTGCTGATACCACTCATAGTTTTTAACATTAAAAAAATTTAAGTCAAAAAATATTTTTAAAATCAAAAGTAACACTTGTACATATAAAACTTCAAATAGTACTTAGAGGCTTATAATTAAACACTACTTCCTTGTCTATTTCTATCTAATTCTTATTTTCCCAAGACAGCCACTTTTAATTCTTTTACCTTTTTCATTTATATTCTTAAATAATAGTCCCTTCTTGCTATTGATTTTTTAAAAATTTCAAAATCATACACACACACACACACACACACACACACACACACACACACACAGCATCACTTCCCTTCCTCTTGTATGGTTGTATCACACTTTCTGGTTGAACCATTATTCATTGTCATTATTGTAACTGTGTACGTATTTGTGTATCTGCCCTATATACTGGATTATTATATTTTCATTCTTATACACTTATTCTCCTTAAGATTATTGCTGCATTTTTAAAAATAAATTTATTTATTTATATTGTAGTTTTGGCTGCGTTGGGTCTTCGTTGCCACGCACAGGCTTTCTCTAGTTGTGGCGAGTGGGGGCTACTCTTCGTTGTGGTGCATGGGCTTCTCATTGCGGTGGCTTCTCTTGTTATGGAGCATGGGCTCTAGGTGCACAGGCTTCAGTAGTTGTGGCACGCAGCCTCAGTAGTTGTGGCTCACGGGCTTTAGAGTGCAGGCTCAGTAGTTGTGGTGCACGGGCTTAGTTGCTCTGTGGCATGTGGGATCTTCCTGGACCAGGGCTTGAACCCATGTCCCCTGCATTGGCAGGCGGCTTCTTAATCACTGTGCCACCAGGGAAGTCCCCTGTTGCTACATATGTTTTGATTTCTCTATAACCATCACTAATTCCAGAACTAACAGAACTGAAAGTTGTTTTTCAGTATTCTGTAGTTGTTATTGATTCTTGGTGGCTTCTCGTGTGCCCTCTCGTTCTGCTCCACTGTGGCGTGGCTGCCCTCTAAGCGTTGCTGCAGCTGAAGTCCTGTGTCTTCCATCCACAGCCTTCCTCTCGCCAGCTTCTTGGGTCCCCTAATTCTTGTGTCTCATATCTTCTTATCTCTCTACTGACTTTTGTTTTTTGGAGCACATTCTCCAGTAGCTCTTTGAGAAAGGGTGTTTTAAAGGTGAATTTTCAGACTTTTCATATCTGTGAGTCTTTATCCCATCTTCACAGTTGATTGATACTTTGGCTGCGTATAGAATTCTAGATGGGAGTTATTTTCTTTCAGAAAATGGAATGCATGATCCATTGTCTTCTAGTTAGGAGTGGAACCCAAGTTTAATTTGGTTCTGAATTTGTATTATATAATCTTTCTTCACCCCTCCTAGAAACCTTAAAACCTCCAAATAAAATCCCTCTATCTATTCTTTGCTCCGTTCTTTCCCCCAAATTCTGTGCGTGTTTTTCTTGCTTTCTCTGCTTGTACAGAACATTTTTTCTAGTTTATCTTTACACCAGGTATGCAGCCTTGTGGGTCCCCAGCTTTGACTCTTGTCTCCTGTGTGAGAATTTCCTCCTAGTATCATCCCTTCAACTTTACCTGCTCTTCCCTTGTCCTGTCCTGCTGTCAAAATAGGTTCTACAGATTCAGCAGATACTCTCAGCTCCATTTGTCACTTACCTCCTAGGATTCCCCTTTTTAGTTCATATTTGTCCTCTTTGGATTCCTTACGTTTTTGCCAACTCCATAATACGTTTAAAATTATGCTTTTAAAATGTAGGGACTTCCCTGGCAGTCCAGTGGTTAAGACTCCATGGTTCCACTGCAGCTTTGTAGCCATATTGTTTCTGTTGCAGCTATCAGCTCTGTCATATTATTAAGAAAGTAGCCATAGATAATGTATAAATGATGGGCTCCTTTAGATTTGGCCTGAGGCTGGCTGGCCTCTAGCCCCAAATATCTCAAGTCCATCCAGTGAACTTACAATCTGGGAATGAACATTAGACACTTTGCTGCTTTGCACAGTGTATTTCTGAAGCATTGATGTTCCAGCAGGAAGAGCCCTTTGGGAGCACCAGTGAGGAAGAGTCTGGTACTGAGGACCATCAGAGTCTAAAATCTGTCATTGATGTTGAAGACCTCGGCAAGATTATGGATCGTATGAAGAAAGAAAAGGTACTGTAATTTTGGGAAATGGTGAGCTGGGATCCGACAGTTGGTTGACATCTAGCATCTGTATTGGTGCATAGTCCATCTGAGCTCATAATTGGACAGTTTTAGTTCTTTGCCTCCTGTTTTGAGAGTTTTATACTTTTTTTGGCCATTATAACATGAAAATCTTTCTCAGCCCTGTGGAAATGAGCCCGTAGTAGAATAGACATAACTGAGGAAAGGGTAGATGGTTAGGGACTTTCCTCAGTGTTGTGGCTGAAGATGACAGGCTGAGCAGCATGATAAGATTGGTGTTGATATTCCCAGTGGAACCCTCATGGAAAAGTGCTTCCCTGTCGTAGACCGAGTGGTGTTGGGCTTAGGGATGGCACGGTGGTCTGTGGGTGTTGAGGTCAGATTAGGTGGAGGCCCTAGGAATCTAGGAAATGTTCATCTAGGTTGTCATTGTCTTAGTTACTCGAAGAGTAAGAGAATGTATGGTGTAGTAGGGTTTTATGCAGAGTCTAATGATCTAAAATTGAAATAACATTATATATACAATAATATAAAAATATAAAGTCTCAATTTATGTGTGAGTTTTGGGAAATGAGAATATCCTAAGGTAAAAATGTATTGATTGCATAAGTCTTAGAAACAAAAGAAGCAAACTGTGGAAGAATCCAGGAAAGCCTATGATAAAATTAACACAAACTCAAATGAAACAGTTCAGTAAGGCAGCAGGCCATAGTAAGGTAAAAAGTCAACGCCCTTTATATTCCCAGATAATAACCAGTTAGAAGCTGTGGTGGGAGAGGACCCCATTTACAGCAGCTACATAAAAAATAAGCACGCACATAGGGATACACTTCTGAAGAAATAATCTTAAATCTCTACGAGGAAGACTTTAAAACATTCCTGGAAGATCTAAAAGTGCCTTGAACAAATGAAAAGAGCTTCCTCGTTTTTAGATATGGTAACTCAGTATCGTAACGCTGTCAGTTCTTTTAAGTTAATACATGCATTTGATGCAATCCCATTAAAATTCCAGTAAGGTATTTTTTTTTTGGAGCTAGACTGGTTGATTCATGTGGAAAAATAAACATGCAAGGGTAGTTAGGGAAACTTTGGCAAAAGTCATGATGAGAAAGGCTAGCCCTACCAGGTATTTAAACTTACTACAAGGCATCTGTAACTGACACTGTTGTACTGGCTCCCGATGAGACAGACCAATGCAACAGAATAAAATTCCAGGAATAAATCCAAGAATATAGGGAATTTCATATATGATAAAGGTGGTGTCTCTTTTCCTCAGGGGGAAGATGTACTTTTAAGATAAATGATGTTGACAACTGGCTAGCTACTCGTGAAAAGATAAATTGGCTCTGAAGCTCATACATACATCAGGATAAACTCCAATCTGAGGTAGATCACCAATCAGAGATATAAATGTTGAAAAATACGTAAATAATAGAATTAGATGCATTATTTAAAACTTGAAAAAAGATTTTGTATATGATCTGAAATCTGGAAACAATAAAACATTGAATATCAGTGATTTTTTAAAAAATTCACATAACTATAGACAAAATCAAAAGACAAATGATAAAGTGAGGGAAAATATTTGCCCCTTATACTATAAAGAAGGAGTTAATTTTTCTACCATACATAGCACTCTTAAAAATTGAATGAAAAAAAAAAAGACTTTAGTAGAAAAAAATAGGAAAAACACATGAATAGGCGAGTCTCAGAAAAACCTCTACAAATAGACTTTAAACATATGAAAAAATCCTCAAATTCACTCGTAATAAAGGACATGCAAATTAAAACTACACTGATATACATTTCTCACCTAGAAAAATAGCAGAAATTCAAAAGTTGGACAATGCACAATTGGTGAGGCTCTGTGGAAACAGGCACCCATACCTTTCTGATGGGAGTCCAGAATGGTATACCCGTATGCAGGGGCTTTGGGCAGTCTTTACCAAATTCACACGCATTTACGCGTGATCCGCAGGCCCAGATGTATAAATTTGCCTTGAAGATACATCTTCACAAATACAAAACAGCATCTGCACGAGGTTATACCTTGCAGCAAGTTTAACAAACAGCTATTGGATACTGGCTGAAAAAAGCATGATGTACCCACACAGTATAATACTGTTGTACAGCTGTGAAAAATAATAAAGTGGATCCATGTGCATTAATGTGATTTCCAGGTGGTATGATGTGGAGGCTGATACGAACTTAAGATTTTTAAAAATGTACGTTTATTGTCATGTTATATTTGCAAATTTATAATTTAAGTGTGTGTGTGTATAAATAATATTTTGTGGCTGTGTTTGTTGAAAGGACCTTTCATGTTCTGACACTAACTAACACCCAGTTAATTCAAATGACCTGCAGTTCAATTCAGTTCTGGCACTACCTGGAGTTAGTGTCAGACCCCCCATAGTCCTGTGCAAGACTGTCTCCACTTCAGTGGTAGCTGTAAGTCTAAGGGTCCACTTGGACTTCCGACCAACTGGTCATAAGTATGGGGGTTCTCATGTCCGATCCCCTCACGTTCGATAATTTGCTAGGATGACTCAACTCACTGAAAGCACTGTATAAATCTCCCTTGATTTACAATGGTGTTATGTCCCAATCAACCCATTTTAAGTTGAAAATTTTGTAAGTCAAAAACATATTTAATACACCTAACCTATCAAACATCAAAGCTTAGCCTAACCTACCTTAAACATACTCAGAACACTTAAATTAGCCTACATTTGGGCAGAATCATCTAACATAAAGCCTGTTTTATAATGAAGTGTTGAATGTTTCATGTAATCTATTGAATAACGTACTGAAAGTGAAAGAGTGGTTATAGGGGTGCAGAATGGTTTTGCGTGTATTGGTTGTTTATGCTCCTTTGTGATTGTGTGGCTGACTGGGAGCCTTGGCTTGCTGGCATCACAAGAGTGTATTGTACTGCATATGGGTAGCCTGGGAAAAGACCAACATTCAAAATTCGAAGTAAGGTGTCTACTAAATTTGTATCGCTTTCGCAACATCAAACCATTTTAAGTCAGGGACTTATGGTTACAGTTTTGTAGCGAAGGATACAAATCAGAAACCACCAAATGGAAAGGAAGCGTAGGGCAAGATCTGAGAGTGGAGGGTTGGGGAAGAGACCCAGAGTTTCTATGCCCCCTCATCGTGGAATCTGGGCACATCACCCTCCCACCCCATCCATGTGTTCACCACCTAGGAAGCTCTCCTGAGCTTTATTTTTTACTTTATAAATTTATTTGTTTATTTATTTATTTTTGGCTGTGTCGAGTCTTCATTGCGGTGTGCGGGCTTCTCATTGCAGTGGCTTCTCTTGTTGCAGAGCACCGGCTCTAGGCGCGCGGGCTTCAGTAGTTGTGGCACGTGGGCTCAGTAGTGGCTTGTGGGCTCCAGAGCGCAGGCTCAGAAGTTGTGGTGCACAGGCTTAGTTGCTCCATAGCATGTGGGATCTTCCCGGACCAGGGCTCGAACCCATGTCCCTGTGTTGGCAGGTGGATTCTTAACCACTGCGCCACCAGGGAAGCCCTCTACTGAGCTTTAGCATCCAGAATTTTTATTGGGGTTTCATTATGTAGGCATGATTAATTAGATCATTGGCTAGGTGTTTGAACTCAATCTCCAGCCAGCCTCCCCTCCCCCTCATGTCTCTGGAGATCCAGCTGGCCCAAAGTTGCATTATGTGATTGTCTTCTGGTGACCAGCTCTTTTCCTGAAGCTATCTAGGGGCCCACTGTGAGTCACCTCGTTAGCCTAACAAAGACACTTCTGTCTCTTTAGGAAATGCCAGAGTTTTTTGAAGCTCTGTGCCAGGAGCTAGGGACAAAGACCAGATGTATTCTTTATTGTGCCACAGACCTAGAAACAAACAGAGTAAGCACTCAGATCTTGTTTTCTAAAATCATTACCCTACTAAAAGGAACTAAGGCTCCTTGAAGAAATGGCTGATTCCAGGGTTGGGGAAGGGAGTGTAACAGATGAGCCTGGGATGTCTTGTTGAGTAGGTAGGTCCTCAGTGTCTAAAGGATATAGGAACCAGCTTGAGGAGTTTCTCACAGGCCAAATATGGGGCAGTTTGAACATCAAAAATCAACATAATGATGAACATAATGGATTATATTACATCAAATTAAAAAAAAAATCAATCCTTGTGCTACTCAAAAAAAAAAAGGGAGGCACAGGAGAAAGTTTTTTTTTTGGACTTTTTCTTTTTAACATTTTTATTGGAATATAATTGCTTTACAATGGTGTGTTAGTTTCTGCTGTATAATAAAGTGAATCAGCTATACATATACATATGTCCCCATATCTCCTCCCTCTTGCATCTCCCTCCCACCCTCCCTATCACACCCCCTAGGTGGTCACAAAGCACCAAGCTGATCTCCCTGTGCTATGTGGCTGCTTCCCACTAGCTATCTGTTTTACATTTGGTAGTGTATAAAGTCCATGCCACTCTCTCACTTTGTCCCAGGTTACCCTTCCCCCTCCCCGTGTGCTCAAGTCCATTCTCTATGTCTGCATCTTTATTCCTGTCCTGCCCCTAGGATTTTCAGAACCTTTTTTTTCTTTTTAGATTCCATATATATGTGTTAGCATACAGTATTTGTTTTTCTCTTTCTGACTTACTTCACTCTGTATGACAGTCTCTAGATCCATCCACATCTCAACAAATGACCCAATTTCGTTCCTTTTTATGGCTGAGTAATATTCCATTGTATATATGTACCACATCTTCTTTATCCGTTCGTCTGTCGATGGGCATGTAGGTTACTTCCATGACCTGGCTATTGTAAGTACTGCTGCAATGAACATTGGGGTGCATGTGTCTTCTTGAATTATGGTTTTCTCTGGGTATATGCCCAGTAGTGGGATTGCTGGATCATATGGTAGTTCTATTTTTAGTTTTTTAAGGAACCTCCATACTGTTCTCCATAGTGGCTGTATCAATTTACATTCCCACCCACAGTGCAAGAGGG